AAAAGAGCCTACCTTAAGATCTGTTGAAAGAAGTAAATCTTTAACAGGGGGGATTAGAATTCCACTCTCTGATATTGCTTTATGAAAGAGACCCTTAGACAAAGGAGATAAAACCTGCCAAGAGGGGAAGAATGGAAAGTATTTATTCTACCTTGAAGTCCTTACCCATAACTTTATGCTTGACTAGACTGCTGGATTCAGTGGGGAATTACACATTTTATGTGCTTACAGGGGAAGTGTCCAGACTTAGGATAATGAGCCGTTAATCTTACTTTTGAAAATCAGATTAAGCATGAAATGTTACATTAATTGAGTTTTTGAAGACTTTTTTTCTAAGACTTTACTTTTTAGTGCACCTACTGCATGCGTACATGTGCAAAAACAGAGCAAGATCCTGCAGATACACCAAAGAGTGTGACAGATCCTGGATCTCCACCAAAGTGTTCAATGTTTTCTTGGATCCACCGAAGAGCTGCTACTTGATCCAAAAATGCCCAGTTCCCACGAGCGTGTTCATCACCAGTGCTGAAAGAAAAGCGTTAGAAGCCAGCTTCTCAGGAAGAGTGATAGTTCTTTTAATACCAGAATAAAATACATCTCACCAACTTACATTTTGTGCAAATTGTCATATTTGGCGAAGGAAAGATCCGAATAGCCTCCTGACCTAAAGCCCTCCACAGTCAGATCTAAGCCCCACTGACATACTTGCCTCTACTGTTTGTTCACCCATACACAGAGGGGTTCCTGGCTTTTACACTATATGATTTTTTGCTTTACACACCAATGGATGGAAGTAAAGGCAAGAACAAACACCCTGCCCAGAACCGAATAAGCCCACCTATGATTTGACAGCAGGCTACAATCAAATGACAATGCAAATGGAATTTATGGGCATTTCTTCATGTTTTTAAGTCCTGGTGTCAGTGAACTATGTACATTTAAATCACTGTAACAGTAGGAAGCTGGTATGGAAGCTCAGCTGATTTAGAAAACAAAACTACCCAGGCTTTAAATGTGATAGGAAGTATTTTGTAAAAAGTGAAACAGGTCATCTTACTTGAAGAATCCAAGGAGTCCGAGTCTGTACTGAATTATTACTACCACAACGTTCTCATAGGCTGACAGTGCAGAACCATCATACCTAGAAGCACCACCAAATATAAAATTGCCTCCATGGATCCACACCATTACCTTGGAGAAAAAAGCGTAAGACACAATTTTATATGTTGCTTGGTAGGTTTCATTTGAAAAAGGAAGACAACATCAGAGAATGAGGAACTCCAAATCACCGAAGCTCAACGGGAGATGAATTTTAGGTTGGTGGACTTTGAATTTTACATAATAATATTTTTGCTAATGCGGCGTCGCATTTTCAAAAGCAATTAACTGACTTAGGAGCTTTCATGAGGTGCAACTTTGTACAACACAGGTTTGTACAATGGGTTTACGTACAGGTAACTTGTCCTTCTTGTTTGAACCAGCAGGGCTGTAAACATTTAGATACAAACAGTCCTCAGAAGTTCGGAATGCAAGGTGTTTTTCTTTGAAGTTTTTTTCAGCTGTTTTCAATAAGGACAGATCTTGAGGACATCTTCACAAAAGAAAGGAAGCATGATTATTAGTAATAAAAAATGCAATAGCAACAACGGAACAACAATAGAGAAAACACTTTCTTTTGCCCCACGCACTGAATTCCCATGGGGTGTTTGAACTTTGTGTTACTTATACACAGTTAGAGGTGCAACCTGTAAAAGCACAGCTCTATACTCTTACTTAAAAAGCTGAATTATTTCAGCACAGTATAGTGAGAAAATGTGATTTCCAAAGACAGGAATTTCCCAGGAATTCTTTGTGGTTCCCAGTCCCACAGTTCTTATGAAATATTTCAGTACTGTCAGCGTATTCACTACCCATCAATACAACCTCCTTACCAAAAATCAGACCTCTGTACCCTAATAAACATGAAAACACTGACAAACATGAGCAGGTCCTATACACACATGAACAGAATGGCTCTCACAGTGGTGGGTAAGAAGTTGCATCTCTCAGATCATTCCAGGGTTCAGGTGGTTCAGGTGGGGAAAACCTCAAGGATCCAACAGGGGCTTTTGCAAAAGGAATCCCAAGGAAAACATTTACAAGTCTGTCTGTCCCCTTCACATGCGTTTGTGTCCCTTTGAGCCGTCCAAGTGTGATAGTCACTTCTGGCTCGGCACCATTCTGTCCTAAGTAACACATAAGGGGAGAAAAAAAAAGTAAATTGCATCTTTGTAATTATCAGATAGACTTTTCAATGAAGCATTTTTTACTGACTTTAATTCAGAAGATTTCAGCTTATTCCTTTCAATTTTGTCCAGTTTTCATTTCACTTTCATGCAATGACAGACACCCCTGCCAACCACTCCTATAGCTGGCTCTGCCAATGACAGCTGGAGCTAGGTAAGACATAGTTTAGTCACTGTGCAAGAGCATAAAGCTTAAAAACAAATTCAGAGCAAAGAGCAACTGTCAAAATCATTAACACTTTCCAAATTTATCATCCAACAGATCTTTAAAATATTTTGTTTAGATAATTCGGAAACATTTTTGCTTTCTACGTCTTAAGAAAGATAAAAAGTTTTATTTTCATAAAATCATCTCAGAAATGCTTTCATCTCACAAAATCAGTAATTTTTGCATCAAGCTTATTAGGATACTTTTGCAGATTGCTAACAAAAGTGTAAGAGATGTACTACTGCCTTTGAAAATCACGACACTGCAACTTGTTAGTGCAGTTGCTTCCCCAACAGCAATAATAACAGATTTTGCATCTCACCTTCTGCTCCGCAAGTGATGAATGCTATACTACAAAACAAAGCACAAAGCAAAGCAACCTGGCTTTGAGGAGCCATTTTCACCCCGCTTTGGACTCTAGGTTATTTTCTGTTTATATGCGGAAGAGAATGGTACAAAGGTCCCTGCTGAAGGCATTCTGAGCAGGGAGTGCAGCTAAATTCCCTTTTGAACATGCACTGCATTAAGCGCTTTCAGAGCTGTACTTGCTACAAAGCACAAATACAATCCCTTAGTGTAACACACCTAATCATTACCTGATTCTGAGAATGGGTGATCTGAAAATGACCAAACGCCATCTGTGAACAACAACAAAAGCTCTAATCATAGTTAATCTGCTGTTAATCCTGCGAACAGAGAAAACAGTGAAGCTCTGAAGAGGTTCCAGACGTTTAAATTCTTGTAAAAAAAAAAACCAAGCAACAAACACCTCACCAAAAAAACAGGATTACAGATTAGAAATAACTAGAAAGTAACAATAAAAAAGAGAAAAAAAATAAAATAGTTAATTCTTGCAGAGGTTTTAATGAGGACTAACGCACCTGTTCCTTAATTGACACTATACTTGCTTTCCAGCAGGGACTGGCCTCCAGCCTCTAAAATAGTTCTTTATCGCTTCTTGAATAAAAATAGGTTTCTTGCATTTTTCAAAACTAAAGGGGAGATTAAAGTTGAGGGTCAGATTATAGCTTCTTCTCTACAAGCAGCCTCAGTGGAGGTCAGAACGTAAGGTCTAGTTACCAACATCTTATGGGGTATGCACTTCCCTCACAAAAGAGGTAAAGGACCATGACCTCACCTTCTCTATAGAATAGCTTCCTACAGTGGAAACAGGCTGGCAGTCCAACAGTTTTCACCCGCCGGCTGAAGAAGTCCTGAAAAATTTTGTACTGCATAGAAGCACGGCATCCCTCAGTGCGGAAGACTGGTCCTAGGCTGATGAGCCTGGAGGCCTTCTTCACAGCTGGGCCACAAGCCCAGCCTGCTCCACTAACTCCCAATCTTCACCTGGGAAAACACCCTCTGCATAATGGGGTTTTGCCTTTCCATCTTTGATGTGGGAACATCAGGTTTCACAGCTCCTGGATGAACGGTGCCATCAGCATTCAGTTGCAAAGCATACGGCCTCAGGCTCCTCTGCGCTGCTTTCACTTCATTCACCTCCAGCAAAGCCAACTTCTCCACCACAGATGATACCTCACCTAAGTTCATCCTGCTTGGGAAACAGGTTTGTCAGAGGAAGTCAGTTCTTTAACAAAAAGGGTCAAACACGAGATAGGTAAAACCAGATTTTCAGTGCAAGAGAATCAGAGGTACCTGCTATTTCTTACACAGTTCCTGAGTCTCTGGGTTGCAATAGCTTTGGAAAATGAGCCAATTTCTCATGAATTTCGGCTAGAAGTGTGCAAATATGCATGGTAGAACATAATTTCCTCAAATCTTTCTGGAGAATCCTTTCTGTTGCAGTTATTTTTGCTCCAGTCCAATGTGAACGGCCCCGGGATTTTTGTCGCTTCTTCTGGAGTGAGAGTGTAATGATAACGTATTTTGGCTTCACACTCCCCTTTATAATGGGGTGAAAGCAAAGACTAGTAAGACAGACCAAATCCAGCAGACAGGTTTCAACAGATGGGAATAGGTGTGCGCCCCTGTTTGTGTGCGTATACGTCCATCCACGCACATACACATGCACATATACATGAGGCAGGGAGCAAGAAGTTGGAAAAAGCAGGATTCCATGAGGCTACTTAAGTTGAATGCTTTCCATCAGTGAAATCCAAGGAATATGGATGTCTTGTGCTGCCAAACTGAGCTCTCTTTATCCAACGAAAAATAAAAACAAACCAAACCAAAGCACACAAACCCCACTTTTAAAATCAGCCAACATCTTCACCAGTAAGGGTAAGTCAGCTCAGTCAGCTTTGTATTTCCTAAACAGCCAGAAAAGTTGTGCTTACCAACAAAATTTATCATCCAAAACAACATACACTAATTGAAAGACCAATTAAAGGTAACAAAGGATTAGATTAAGAAGTGAACTTTAATGTCAATGTAATTTATATATTAGATGACTATAATACAAAACAAAGATGAAAGCAGAGATAAATGGAAACTTTGCTCACAGGTAGTTTGCTTGTCTGATTTAAAAGATCAGCAGATGTGTAAGTATGTTAGTAACTTTCAGATCAGGTCCCGCTGGGGGCAAACCCAATCTGGCCCAAGTCCCCACAGTCAGAAGCACACCTGAGGTAACCACCGTTTCTGTAAGGCAGGGCTGAGCAACAGAACCACAATATACGTCTTTTCTCCCAGCTGCAACATCTTTTGAAGCAGCAGATCTCAGCTCCTTCCAAAAGCTCCTTTCTTTCTGACAGCCACCGGGGAAACTGCCGACCTCCACCTGAGGAGCACCTTCACGTCTTCTTACCTGTGACCATGACGTGGTAGGCATGAAAAAAACAAACTCTGTAATAGGGCATTTTTCGCAAAGAGAAATCAAACATGAATCACAGAATGGTTCGGGTTGAAGGGACCTTAAAGCCCCCCCAGTGCCACCCCTGCCCTGGGCAGGGCCACCTCCCCCCAGCCCAGGTTGCTCCGAGCCCCGTCCAACCTGGCCTTGGACACCCCTGGGGACAGCAAGGAAGCCAAAACAGAGAATACAGTGTGTTTGCACAGGAGTATGTGCCTTCACCCCAGTATAAAGAGGTGTATGAAGCCAAAATATGTCATCATTACACTCGTATCACTCCAGTTTCTTTAAGTTGGCGGGGCTTTTTAGATACAGTTTGACTTTGCCAATTAATTAAAGGAGGAAATAAATATTTTTCATCACGAACATTTTGTATTTAACGCGCACCTTAATATACCCGTCCCTGACAGCACG